TATCCATTATACAGCTCTCAGATGCATAGTAAGCAATTAGGAATACCATTTTCCCAGTGCAACTCATCTTTTGATTTCCTGACTGCTAGTGTTAAGAGTGTTTATTATGGGTCTAAGCAAGATAAAATCATTAACAACCCATACAACCCATGTTTTGTTGTTATGTGTCATCGAGTCACCTGTGACTTATAGAGAACCTATGCACACCAGCTCTGAAACCTGCCCTATCCTAACCAATTTCATCATCTCTGATAGATCCAGTTTCATTTCTCTAGTCAGTAAGTCAATTCATCCCATCTTGGGTCTTCCATTCCTATGCTGTCCTTCCACCCTTCTAAGCATGATGTCTTTTTCCAAGGACAGGTCCCTTGTGACCATGTGCCCAAAGTATCTAAGACAGAGCCTCAAAACCTTTGCCTCTAGGGAGCAGCCTGGTTTCACTTTCTCCCGGACAAACTTGTTTGTTCTCCTGGCAGTCCACAGTGTGCTCAACACACTTCTCCAGCACCACAACTCAAAGGTATTGATCCTTCCTCTGTAATCCTTAATTATTGTCCAGCTCTTAGATGCATAGCAAGTAATTGCAAAGACCATGACCTGAATCAGATGCACCTTAGCATCCAGACTGACACTGTTGCAACCCATAACAACCCAGAAAACTGTAGATCTGAACTCTGTTCTATCCTGTGCCATCCTCATAATCTCAGACACATTTGAACCCATTGCTGAAGACACTGTATCAATCCTTATTTGTTCTTTTAAACGTTACATTGTAAATGCATCGAACATTAATGCTTTTATTTTGCAAATAAGATATTTTAAGACACCAAGTCCACGATGTTGAGGAGATCATAAAAGGAGTTCTTAATAATATAAAATTTGGGAAATAACATGTTTGGTATATGCTTACTGTCCCTAGGGGCAGAAATTATAAGACTTGTCTTTTTTACTTTATACATATTATCAGGAGGTACCAGTTTCTGTAAAAGGACATCTTAGTAAATTTCCTGGAGATTTTGTAAAAAAGAGGAAGACTCTCAACAAGATGGACTGACAATGTGGCTGCACAATAAGACCAAACATAACCGCAACCACAAAGATGACACTGGATA